AAGTTATTGTTACATTAGAGTAGAAGAAAAGCAAGCAATAGAATAGGGCCACTGAAGGTGGGTTCAGGAGACAATATGACAAATAATGCTGCACATGCTGCAATAGTGCTAAATACATTATTTTGCATCAGTCTTTACCAAGGAGGAGATGGGTAACCTATCTGATCTGGAAAGAGAACTCAAGGATGTCGCAGAGAAAAATTGCGATATTATTCATATCACTACCAGCATGGTTGCCAAACAGCTGCGTAAACTTAAGGTAAATAAATCTCAGGGGCCGGATAAATTGCACCTGAGGATCCTCAAGGGTCTCAGGGAGGAAGTTGCAGAAATGCAGGCACAAATCTTTCAAAAAAAACACTGAATACTGGAGAGGGGGACTGGAGAAAGGCAACAAAAAGGGAATTACAGACCAGTAAGTTTGACGTTCATTGTGGGTAAAATTATGGAGCATCTTGACGAAATAAAATCATAAATGATAGCCAGTATGGATTCATGAAGGGAAGGTATTGACAATGTAATTTACTGGTTTTCTTTGATGGTGTGACAAGAGAGCTTAATAAGAGTAAGGCTGTGGATGTTTGTAACTGGATTTCAGTAAGGCCTTTGATTCAGTACCAGCCTCTCAAGAGGAACTGTAAGTATTTTTAAAAAAGCAGGAATCAGTGGAGGTATATTACAATGGATATGCAATTGACCGGAAGAACTCAGAGGGTTGTGGTACAGGGAATGTCATCAGACTGGAAAAATGTTACCAGTATAGTTCCACAAGGGTCTGTTTTGGGACCTCTTTTGTTTAATATTTTTATAAATGATCTGTAACTAGGAGTCGCCACCACAGTGGCTAAGTTTGCAGATGACACCAAGCTAATGAAGGATTGGACTATGAGGAGTGACTAAGTAAAAGTGGTCATGTTCACGCTGGAAAAGAGAAGATTGAGAGGCGACATGATTGCTGTCTTTAAGATTCTAAAGGGGCAAAACAATATAGATCATAACAGGCTGTTTCAACTTGTCCAGAATAGGAGAACCAGAGCCCTGCAATTGAAGGGGGTAAATTCTGAACAAATCTACACAAACACTATTTCAGTGAGCGAATAGTGAACCTGTGGAACAGGCTCCCTGGGGAGATGGTTGAAGCAGGAAGTGTTAACTCTTTCAAACACAGATTGGAATGTTTTCTTTTAGGAAATAACATTATGGGATTTAGTGCTTAGGTAGTTTGGGACATATGTAGTTGCGACTGCCAGGTAGGCAGAAGGCAAACTAGATGGACCTTAGTCTTTTTTTCGTCAAGCATTTCTTATGTTCTAAGTGCGCATGCGTCGATGGGGCAGAACGTCATTTTCTGCTGTTGTTAAGTGCAGGAGTGGTGTTACCAGTCAAGATGATTTGCTTATAAAATACAACTGGTTCAAAGAAATTAAATGTTTTTGATAGGAAACTGGACTTGGGTGCATGTACAACTTAAATGATTATACAATTTATAAAGATAAGACTTATATGAGTTCAAACTCAAAAGCATTCCTTCTGCATCAATATGCCCATGGACCTCTTAAGAGATCAATTTTATTGTCAGTTGATGCTATAAAATCTACTTAAATCGGTATTAATTCATATTAGTTATTCATATAACTTTGATCCCTCATTGAGAATTGGATCTAGACACACACATTACAATGTGTTAAAACTCCTCATTTTCAGAGTGCTTAATTCTCCTCTCCACAAAAAGACAAACAAATAAATAATGATTATTAACTTGAAGCACAATTCCATGTATGATATAATCATCCTTGCATTTGATATAGCACCTTATTATGTCGTTGAGACATCTCAAAGCACATCACAGGATAAACTGTAAAGTGGATTGCCTGTGTATTTTGTGAGCGAATTGCGGCAACCAGTTGCATACAGCAATGTTACACAAAACACCATGGATTGAGTGACCAATATTATTTAGTGGATTGTTGTCAGGATACCAGGAGAGACTCCCTTCTCTTTTCAAATAGTACCATGGGATCTTTAACATGCACCTGATCAGGCAGATGGGACCTCGGTCATCCAAAGAACCGATGTAACTTTGTTATTCAGTTGCGCATGGGGTGGTGGGGTAGAATGTGATCATTTAATCCTGTACTCAATTAATAAGGCTAGATGGCTAAAAATAGGCCAATTGTTTAATTAGATTTTGTGAAGCTACATGTACTTATCAACCCTTTCATATGGTTTTATTAATGGAAAAATCCATGTAGCTTCACAAAATCTAATTAGAGAGATTGAGAAAGAGCTTGGCAGAGGTTAAGAGTGTGGCAAAGCAAAAGAGCAAGTGAGTGGCAGAGTGTGAGACAATGAGTGAAAATTATGGACATTAACCTAGGTCTACTGCTTTGTGCTTAACATAGAGGCAAAAAATATACTACAACAATTTTCTAATGTAGAGGAGAATATTTCTAATGTCAGGAAACTTACAAATTCAACAGATTTGTTTTTTGATTGGAGCACAAAAATGGTTTCCACCTTTTAGAATTTAGAAGTTTAATTCCAATATTGAATTAATTAACAAATGAACTGCTTTATTGTAGTTGATTTCTAATGATTCAGAAGATAGGTGCCAAAAGCTGTAGAGTTGCAGCATATGGACTACAATTAACCAGAGAGCAGTGAAAGGTGGAATACTTCCTTGCAAATTCCAGGTGACAAGAGTTCAAAATTAAAGTGCCACAACTGGTGATTGCTTCCATCAGATTTGGAATATAAATGAGCTGAAGTTAAGGCTATGGACTCATTGAGCTTTTCCTTTGGTGAGGTGATATCATGAATTTACTGTAGATACATTAAATGCTCTGAGAACTACAAGTATAACATATTTTATTACTAGGGGGGGCGGGGAATCTACTTGAAATATTTTTTTTTTTTGGGGGGGGGGGGGGTCAACCAGATGACAGAGACATGCTGCTTCTTTGAAAGAGCAATCCAATCCACCCCATTTGCCTGCCTTTTCCCCAATCCTTGTAAATTATTCCTTTTTAGATATCTGTCTAGTTCCCTCTTGAACGATAATAAGGAACTGCGGTATGAAGCTGCTGTTCCCATTACATACAATATTGGTCAGACCGCATTTGAAGTACTGTATTCAGTTTTGAGCACCCAATTTTAGGAAGGAAATGCTAGCTTTGCACGGTGTCCAGTGATAATTCACTAGGTAAATACTTTGCCTGAAGGGCTTTAGTTATGGTGAGAGGCTGTAATAGACTGGGGTTATATTCTCTGGGGAAAAATAAAGGGGTGATTTATTTGAGGCATTTAAAATAGTGAAAGGAATTGACAGGTTAAATGGTGGATGACTCTTTCCTCTGGTAGAGCGATCCATTACAAGGGGTGCACAGTCTTAAAACCAGAAGTAAACAGAATTCAAAGCGGGAATTTCTTCACTCAGTGAGTTGTATAAAGATGTCCTTCTGTAGAGGCGGAATCAATAAGGATATTTCAAAGCAAGATAATACAGATTATTGGGTAGTACTTATTAAAGGGCATGAAAAAATGGCAGCATTGTAATTAAAAGATCTGCCAAGATCTAATAAATTGGTGAAACAGCTGAATGGCATCCTCGTGTTCTCTATGTTCCTAAATTAGAGAGTAAAGATCATATCATGGTCTTCACCACACAACACTGCATATATAATAAATAATCCTTGTATTAAGAATGTATGGAATGCATTTAAATGAGAGGAACTTCATAAAGGGTGCTATATAAATGCAAGTAATGCTATATAAATTTAAAAATATTATCAATAGTAATTTTAGATACAGGTAATTTGTAATATAATCTTTGCAATGTTCACAAGCAGCTTCACTAACAGAGGCACACAATACCTAATTCAAAAACCTTTCCAAACTCACAATTTCAAAGCACTATATTTATACTACCAATGAGTCATACAGATAGAAAATGGCTCTGTGACTAATTGTTAATTTCTTTTTGGAGGATCAACAGTTAGCTTCCAATTCAGAATGGAATATGACTAGGCACAGTTTCTTCACCTTAATAAAATTATGCAAACATGATTGCTGAACAAAAAATTGTATCTAACTCACAGAAGTATAAATAGAATTGATAAATGGGAATGATTGGGAAGTCATCTGACTGAACATTTTGCAATCTAAGATCTGAACTCCAAGATAAGATTACTGGCTTTAATCACTCTTGCGCACAATAGAATATAAAAACTTAATATGTTCAATTCTCCAGAAATGAATAAAACAGTATAACTTTCAGTAATACTGATGCTGCATACCAACACAAACAGCAGAACCACCATACATTACTAAGCATATTTATTCCATAGTGCAAATTGTAAATTTTCATAAAGTGATTTCAGCTAGTTCCCAGAACACTTTCATACCAATATTTATACTAAAGTAATACTGGGTACAAATGTCAATGATAGCTAAATTGCTCAGGATTCCTTCCTTACTCATCAACATTAGAGATCTGTCATGTCAACTGTGTGAATTATGAATAAGTGTGGCTTTATTAGTGGTGTGTTTTCTGAGGTTTGTACAATATTCAGTGACTTTGTAAAGTAAACAGTAGTGCTTTGGGCATATTACTATTAGTTTTCTTATTATTCTATAACAATTAGTCTATAATAAGAATAGTAGAGAAATGAAATGGGGGCAAGTGAGATTAAATTATGAGACTTGGGTTTATGAATCAATAAATAACAATGGCAAATATAGAGCAGCTGCACTTCAGAAACGACAACTTATTTTCTAATTACTCTTCAGAATCCAAGATCTCGGGCATCAAATTATCTGCAAAGGATGAAGCAGCAAATTTCTACACTATTACCTTCATGATGCAAGTTAAATGGTATTTGCATGCAGCCTTAGTATATTGTTTTAACTTTCCATTACCACGGATGTTGACCAGCTTCTACACAATCTGTCAACAACCACAATGCAGTGATAATAGCAAATTCAGGAAAGAGTTTACTTACTTCCCCATACAGGAATGTCTTTGCTTTCTGTCTTCATTACAATGGAGGCCATGGTCATGGTGACAGGGATAGCATCAAAATATGAAGAATGTGGTGCAAGTGTCATTATAGGTGCCTCAGTTGGCAAAGCCCGACGTCCCTTTACACTCATCCAGTGAAAACCACCAGCAAACCACATAGCTCTCATTATCACTTTCAGCAGAAAATCCAAAGTTCTGCAAAACAAAGACAAGTCAAATAATACAATTTACATTTAAAATGGATACTGCATTTATAGCGCAATACACAAGATTCAGCATGTTTTTTTTTAATCCACTGAAGCTATGTTTTCCCACTATTTAAACCTTCTTCAATCATAGTTTCAAGCTTCCTTCTTAGGCTTGAATGAAAGCAGAACTTGATGACTGCAAAGCATAGTGTCCCATGCAATAAAAAGGTGGGATCTTTTACCTCGAGTTGATTAAACTAATGCAATAAAACGCACATAAGTCGTATCAGTCTGGACCATATCATTTTAATATGACTTACGTGAAGTCCGAGTTGCAAGCAAACTGTAGTAGAAAATCAGATTTAACCAAAAATGTACACTGTGCATGCGCAATTTAATGCAGCTGGCAATGTGGTAATTCATCACTGGAACTGATAAGTGCCAGGCTAAGACTATTTCCCATGATTCCACAAGTCTTCACCCGTCAACACATGCACACTTACTGGCAAACGTTGGAATCACACTGAATCACGGGAAACAAAGTTCTTCTGCACATACGTCGACAGATGAAGACAACGTTTCCAATGATTCAATGCATCCGGCCGGTAAGTGTGCATGGTTCAATGGGTAAGCGCGTCATTTCCCACGATTCAAGGCCTTCGGTAAGCGCGTGAATAATGGAGTGTAGGGGATCGGAGTTACGAGTTAGGAGGTGAGTAATATAAGTAATATAAAGAAATCCAAGTGGTTTTGATAGGAAACTGAATGATTCAGTGAACGTACAACTTAGCCATTTATACAATTTATAAAGAAAAGACTCATGAGAGCTTTACTGTATAAAACGAGTTAGCTGAAAATACTTTACCAGTAAAATTATGGCACTATTTCTACTTATTGAGCTAAAATGAAACACTTTTTCCCCCCCTCCAATTTTCTCCTCTTGAAGATATTCAAAGTAGTTTTTTTCCTTCTGTTGAGATACCATCGACAATAGCAACCCTCCACAACCTCGTCCAAGTGGCCTTTCATTATTTTCATAGCAAATATTGGCAATGAGTTTGATAAAGGGAGAAATATACTCGGCCCACACACATGCACCTTTTAGGTGGAATCTCAGGACAGCAATTTTCAGCAGGTGGGTTTCTCCATCACTGACATGCCAACCATTTCCAGTTGAGATGCCAGGATTCAAACTGACAAACCCTGTGTTCTGTATGGCCTTACACAACGGTACCTTTGCCAATTACGCAATCAGAGGAGCCATGAGTCAAAGACACGGTGTGGCTTTGAAAAGCTTCAAACGCAAGACATGTGGAAGCTTCCCTACAAGGTCATACTTTTGAAGCTCCACAAATACAGTGCCTTAAAAGATCTTAAATCTTGCATAAAGTCACAATTTTTGACTGTCCAGATTTATAACCTCTTTAGAAGCTAGCAGTTAATAATCAATATTGCCTGTCATTGGACCTTATTTTGATCAACTCAAATGCAAACAAGAAATCCATAAAAATCCATTTCATCTGATTTTGTGCACAGAATTTTATATTTCACTATTAAAATATAAAGAAGGATTAAAGTGGAAGTTGCATTTCATATTTATAGCCAGTCTTTTTGGCGAACTACCATAAAAAATAAACACAGTATAAACTGAGTATTCAAAAGCACAAAGTAAAATAAAATACTTCAGAACAATACTGTGGATATATTTTAACAGGTTCCAGATTAAGGAAAATACTAATAATCCTTGCATTTGATATAACACCTTATGTCTTTGAGATGTCTCAAAGTGCTTCACAGAATAAACTGTAAAGTGAATTGACTGTATATTTTTCCCCGGTACCTTCTCCAGTATCTTACCCTATAGGCTGCATTCTTGCCATATACAGTCAATTCACTTCTGTGAAGCGCTTTGAGATATCTAAAAGATGTTGCAAGGCACTATCAAATGCAAGGATTATTATTATGATTATAGAACTTCATCTTACAGGGTTAACAGGAGCTGAGAGTGACTGGTTTGCCCCTCCAAGGCCTGCTGATGAGCCAGTCTGGTTAATCTGGGATTAGCAGTGACTGCAGACCTGCCTGGCTCAGGAACTGAATGTCAAAAGACTGTCAAGAGGGTCACCTTGGAGTTACCCAAGGCACACCTTAACTTGCCCTCCCTACCACCAAAACAAAGAGGATATAAAACAAAAATAGATGCGTTGCATGTCGGTTATCAACAGCAACAACAAAATTACATTTATAGAGCATCTTTCACGTCGGGAGGACGTCCCAAGCCACTGGACAATCAAGGGTCAGGATCTGAGCATGGGGGAGGATGAGGGAAGGCAGAAAGGTGGGAGAACGACTGAAGGCATGTTCAAAGAGGAGGGTCTTGACACCGACCTTGAAGGAGGCAAGGGAGGAAGTGAGGTGAAGGGACTGTGGGATGGAGTTCCAGAGTGTGGGGGCAGAGAGGCTGAAGGCTCGGTAGGGCAGGCCGGGACATCAACTTACTAATATAAAGACTATCCATATAAAAAAATGTTGTTGCTGTTGATCACCTTCAATGAGGGCTTTAAGTTTTATCTCAAATCCCTTCCATGAAATGTGAGTAGTTAAATAAAAACTGCTATAGATATATCTCTTAATGATGACAAGGTTTACTTGATAATTTTGACAGAAATTACTAGCTGATATTCAGCTTCATTGAAATATTACTCAGTATTCTCATTACAACAATCTTATTATGGTCAAAACACAAAATACTGCAGATGCTGGAAATCTGAAAACAAAAACAGAGGTTTAAAGGGGTGTTAATGATGCAAAACAAAGGTGGGATTGCAACAATGCAGAGGAATAGAGGTGTTAATACTGCAGAACAAAGGGCGGGGGAAGAATCTGCAACAAAACAGGCAGATCAGGGAGAGAAAAGGTGTGTCTGGGACCCAGATGATGTGGTGATGGTCACAGAAGAGGAAGAGGGGAAAGTTGAGTTGGTCTGAAATTGTTGAAATCAATATTGAGGCCAGAGGGCTGTAAGGTCTCCAGCAGATAAATAAGGTGCTGTTCCTCGAGCTTGTGCTGTGGCTCATTGGAACAGCGTAGGAGACAGTTGTTTTGCATCATTAATACCCCTTTAACCCATCATCCCCTGGACTCTACCCCATTTTCTCCTTTTGTCTTCCTTGCTCTGCCTTCCCCCCTCTCTGTTAGCCCTTAAAAGCCTCTCCCTCCCAACATGCCCCAGTTATGACGAAGGATCATGGACCTGAAATGTTGACTCACTTTCCTTTCTCTGTGGATTCCCAGCGACTTCTGTTTTTGTTTTCAATCTTATTATGGTGATGTTTGATTTCTCAATATTTCATAGTTTCTAAGACATCAAGTGCTACTTTGGTGTGAATGAGTTATTTTAGTTATAAGTGAAATTATACCAATTGCTTTTTTAAAAAATATATTCAAGTAAGTACTTGCGCTTCCTGTATGAAATCACAAAGTGAAATGATCATTATTATAAATTAAAATTGTGTGCCAAAGGTTGTCAGTCGCTGTTGCAACAAATGTGCAGTGTAATTACATTATCAAACCTTCACGGAATAAATCCATTCATTTTCATTTATTTAAATACAGAAATAATGATCCCTCTCTTCCCTGGACGCAGTTCATAATACTAATTAAATACTTCAAAGAAATTGGTGTTTAACACCAAATTGTAGTTCTTGGAGAAGTAGGTGGTTACTGTAGATATTGTATAGTTAAATATGCCCACGCAAAACTAGTTCAAAATGTACATGTTTAATTTTTCATGGTTGGTTTTGTAGAAAATGTATTTCTTAATACCAATTGGTAATTATTTTTAATAGAAATTAGCTTCATTTATAATATCCAACATGCATCCCACTGAACTTCCTCTTTGTAACTCTGCTTTGATGAACTGTGGTTGATGCTGAAGAGACAAAATAATCTACTTTTCCATCATTACAAGTTCTGATGGAGTGAAAAGCAAAATCTAAAGTGACCAAACACTTGAAGTAAGGTGAACTGTCTTCACTTTCACATCTTCTATAACTGAAACTTTGTTTTAAAAAGGGTTTTATTGGTTCTGTGGCTATTCTTTGTCAAGTGAAATACATTTTTTTAAAAATTAACATTTTTACATAAACTGCACAAATGTCAGCAAATATCTATGTGCAACAGTTGATGTGTCCAATTGAAAACATTTTTAAAAAATCTGTTTTAAACAAATAGAATTGAAATAGTACGTCACTCAAAACCACTTTGTAGTAGGAAGGAGAAGGCAGAAAACATTAAGACATGAACATTTTTTCTCCCTCTTATTCATTAAATTGACCTACACATAAACAGGGTGGTCTCAAAGACAACAATTTACACTTATGTAGCACAGCACCTATCATGAGAGAACGTTGCAAAGTTCTTACATAGACCGAGCAGGTAGAAAGCTGGGGGAGTGGGGGGGAAAAGCGAGGGTGCTGTGAGAAATGGGTAAAAGTGCAGTGGTAGAGGGATTTTAGGAGAGACAAAAGGGCTGAAATGGAGCACAGTAGAGCATGAAGCTGGTCAGAGCTGGAGGAGTAGAGGGAGTAGGTTTCTGGGAAGTTTCAGAGATAAGGTGGTGCAAGACTGGGAAGACATTTGCTCATGGAGCCAAGTGCAGAAGAGGATATAGGCTGCAGAGTTCTGTATGGTCTGAAGTTTATGGAGGCTCCAGCTGAGGAGGTCAGGAATCAGGGCATTCGAAAAGTTGTCTGGCCCTGACAAAGGTGTGAATGAGGGTTTTGGCTTTGTTGATGGTAAAGTCCTGTTGCAGAGATTAAACAAATCTTCACTATGATGGAGAAAGTGAATATAATCAAAAACTATAAATGTAGCTTTATATTCCTAAAATTCAGCACCCGAACTGGGGTCACTGTTGCAAGATTTATCTCTGCAACAGTTGCCATTGGTATAACACATGTCAATTAGCTAATAACAACCTTTTTATTATAATAGATGTGGAATAGT